ATATCATAAAATGTAAACATAAATAAATATATCATTACATAAATATATCATTACATAAATATAATAAATATTATAATTAAAAAATAAATAAATATCTATACATTTAAATACATTCAAAATATCTTTAAAGTTTGCGTTATATCTGGTAACTTTTCCCATTAAAAAAAATAAAATAAAATATTTTGACATGCGCGTCTTTAGGCTGCTGATGTGCAAAATATATCAAATAAAAACTGAATTTTTTAATTATTTTTTGCAAATTGCATTTTTGATGACTTGCTCTTATGGGAACAGAACAATAGTTTTCTCCCTCATTCATGAACCATCCCATCGTCCCTTTCGGGCTTCCGTAGCTCAGACTGGACGACCCACAGACTCCCGCCCGCTTTATTCCCGGGCTCTAACTCCAGGGGGGTCAGTACCAAAATATCTCTAAAGTTTGCGTGATATCTGGTAACTTTTCCCATTAAAAAAAATAATAATAATATTTTGACTTGCGCTTCTTTAGGCTCCTGATGTGCAAAATATATCAAATAAAAACTGAATTATTTATAATTTTTTGCAAAGTGTGTTTTTGATGACTTCTTCTTATGGGAACAGAACAATAGTGTTCTCCCTTTTTCGTGAACCATCCCAGTGTCCTTTTCGGGCTTCCGTAGCTCAGACTGGACGACCCACAGCCTCCCTCCCGGCTTTATTCCCGGGCTCTAACTCCAGGGGGGTCAGTACCAAAATATCTTTAAAGTTTGCGTTATATCTGGTAACTTTTCCCATTAAAAAAAAAAATATATATAAATATTTTGACATGCGCGTCTTTAGGCTGCTGATGTGCAAAATATATATAAAATAAAAACTGAATTATTTATAATTTTTGGCAAAGTGAGTTTTTGATGATTTGTTCTTATGGGAACAGAACAGTAGAACAATAGTTTTCTCCCTCTTTCATGAACCATCCCAGTGTCCTTTGCGGGCTTCCGTAGCTCAGAGCGGACAACCCACAGACTCCCTCCCGCTTTATTCCCTATAACTCCGGGGGGATCTGTACCACAGACTCCCTCCCGCTTTATTCCCTATAACTCCGGGGGGGTCTGTACCACAGACTCCCTCCCGGCTTTATTCCCGGTTAGGGTTAGGGGTTAGGGTTAACCAGGGGGGTCGGTACCTTGAGGGGAGGCGCTGAGGGGCAGCCGGTTGGTCGGGGGGGCGGCGGGCGCCGTCTGCACCGTGAGCTGGGCGGGCTGACTGATCAGGTGGTGCTGCATCCCGCTGGACACCAGGTGCATCACATTACCTGCACACACACACACACACACACATACGTTCTTGTAAGTACCTCAGACTGAGGACCAAGTATAAGGACTCACAAACTGAGGACCAGTAGTTCTGAGTGTCTTGAGAAAGATTGAGTTTTCAAATTTTCTCACTAGGTATCACACACACAATCAAGTGAGGACCAGGAAAATGTCCTCACTTTCAAAAATAGACTTCACTTTGTTGGTTAAAAACTACTTATGGTTCTCACTCTGATGCGGCAACAAGGACACACACACACACACACACACACACACACACCCAATCAGCCTCGTTTTGGCCTCAATTCCAGCAGAGACATGAGGAA